GAACGTTTGCCCTCAAAAAGTTTTATCGATCACAAAACTCATGTTTTTTCATAACTGCAATTTAGTCGCAGTTTTCATTGAAATTAAAATCAAATTTTTATCAAAATCATTTTGATATCCCAACAAAGAGTGTCTGATTTTAAGAAAAAAAAATTAGATCGAATTGTATTTTTTCCCATTTGTGAAATAAGTTGTATGCAAAGAGCTCAAAAATCACCATTTAAGTAGAAAAAAAATAATGGCAAGAATTGTTTATTATACAGTTTATAATGCTAGTATCAAACAAATTACAGCTCAAATAGTTGCCATTCGCAAGATAATTGTTATAGAATTTTTTGGTATGGCCACCCAAAAAAATTTTCGGAGATTTTATATAAGTAAAGTCACTTGCAAAAATCTAACTTGTGTTCAAGTATCCAAACTGACCATGCTGAAAAACTTCTCCTATCGAACAAATTTCTTCGGCTCTTTATATGTTTAAACGTTCAGGTTGTAGCTATTATCTATAAGTTTTGAACAAAAGTCTTTCTGAAAGATTTGAAATAAAAAACTTTCAATTACATATTCATTATCAGGCCAAATTGTGCACTGGTGAGGCGCACAATTTTGTGTCTTTATGTTACTGGATTCCAGATACAACTATTTAAACATGTTCCAAAATGTGAGAAGATTTCACTTACAAAATTTTCGTGGACTCCACGTACAGATACCTGTAACGTAAATTTTGTCGGCACATTAGTTTTGTTGTGGATTCCGCACCGAGCGAAATAGGTAGTTGTTCAGGATTCCGCAAACGTAAGTGGATTCCGCAAATTTATGCGGATTCCCCCTCAGAGTTTGCGGATTCCACTTACAGTTGCAGATTCCACGGTAGCTTAAGTTTACTAAACACATATATTTCTTTTTGTTTTTGGATTCCACAAACTGTTCCAGATTATGCAAAGTTTGTTAATTTCGTTGTAGATTCCGCAAAATTGCTGCTTTTAGAGCAACTTTGAGCAATACAGTGTCTTAAATTTTGTCCGTGGAATTCAAAACAGCAAAAAATAGCAATCTTGCTGATTCCGTAGCAATTTTGCTTTTGGCCTGTCGCGGAATCCGCTTACAATTCACCAAATACACAGTTTGATCTCATGACGTTGTGGTTCAACAAATCTGGCGGTGAACAATCATTTTGAGGTCAATAAGGAACACTGTAAATGAGCCAGGATTTTTTTGTACGTATTGCTCCAACAGATATGATAGAAGATTTATGAATTTTTGAATATAAAATTAAACCTTACACTCAGCATCATCTTAGCTATTTGTGGTTTAAGTAGTTAGTTTTTTTGAGCTTGCTACCAGCTAGTGATTTCCCATCAATCAAATTGAAAAAAAAATGTTATAGTTGGTCATCAAAACGAGAAAAGGTGACAAAAAATTCTTAATGGGATAATTGCATAATGAAGTTTGTGACCCGCAAAAATCAATTAGATTTATGTCTCTTACCTTGAATAATAACTGTTTGACTGCTTTATTTGGCTCATTAGCTTCCTTTTATTCCATATGAGATGATTTCTGACCAGAATTAAATTGCCGTTTACGTTACGGGAAAAAAGAAGTTGGAAAACAGAGAGCACTATTTATATCTATCGGCAAATGTTTTAAATCATATCTCTGCAAAAACTCATCAGAGGCAGGGGCGGATTTTGGGGGGAGGGGTGGGCGGACGCCCCCTCCCCTTCCCTCAGGGATTCGACCCCCTGCCGACCCAAAGGGTCTCCCCTTTGATACTTTTTAAGAAATCCATTTTTTGCCGACCATCCCTAAAATTTTTTTAAAGGCGCCTTTGGCGCCAATATATACTGACTTTGAGGGGGAGCGCGCGCCAAAAAAACGCAATTTTTTGATCAAAATTTTCCAATAAGTGCCGAAAAACGCCTTTTTTGGCCTGTTTTCCAAAAAATTTGCCTGCGGCGCAAAACGTTTGGCTTAAATAGGGACAAAACTGTGCTTTGGAAGAGCTCGAAAAATCAATTTGGTCGACCTAAAAAAAAGGTCGTCAAAATTTTCGAAAATTTTTTGAAAATCCGCCCCCCCCCCCCTCGAGAGAATCCTAGACCCGCCCCTGATCAGAGGTGACGTTTTTTTCCAATTTTGAGCCCAGGGTATCAATATTTTTCAGACTGTATAATATATCTTCATCAAAAATTTCTTAGTCATTATTCGGAAAACAGACGAAATAACAAATTGTTTTCTATTGAGATTATGATATACTAGAATTTAAATGTTTTTAGTTGCCGGCTTTTTCCCATGACAGCTTTTATGCATAGGGGTTGTGATGGGCAAAAGCAAACTTTCTTGCAAATCCATTATCTGAGAGAGCGACATTAGCAAATAGTTTCTAGCCTGTTTTCAAGTGCATCAAATTGCATTGTTAGCTGACAGCTACTCTGGAATCCGGGTCGAAGTCCTCGACTTGTGCTTCGACTTTGAAAAACGAGTAAGTGCAGTTTTGCAACTGAAAAACCGCGGTCGAAAAGCAACTCTAGGTCGAGTACAAAACCTAAGCACTTAATTTAGAAGCAAACAATAAAAAATTTCTTTCAAATTGTACATGGCAGTCAATAGTTGAGAAAGTCGAGAATATTGAAACATACCCAATTTTGGTCGAGAAAGTCGATGCGTAGATCGAGCACAGTCAAAACATAGGTTGAGCACAGTCGAGTTATAGGTCGAGCACAGTGGAAACATAGGTTGAGCACATTCAAAACATAAGCCGAGCACAGCCGAATAGTAGGTCGAGCGCAGTCGAAACATTGGGTGAACAAACAAAAACCGGATTTAGAAATGCAATTTTTGTCGCATTTTTGCTAGCATAATTGAAAGACAGATGCAAAAAGTCAAATTATCCTGTAAAAATTTATTTTCAACGTGCAACTAGCTATAACCAGCATAATATCAAATGCAGGACGACCACGAGAAGGCCTGCACATGATCCCAAAAATATATATATGCCAATTTTTCGGGGCAACGACAAAACCCTCACCAAAAAAAACAGAAAGCTTAATTTTTTGTGGTAACTTGAGCGCCCTGGTATGTGGATATTAGTACGCTATTATACGCTAAATTTATCGTTTTTTTGTATTGTTTGTACTGTGATGTTTTGATTCTTTTGCTTTTTTCGAAACTACTCACAACTTTTCTGAATCGATAACTACTTTGAAATATTTGAAGACTGTTACTCTCAGGGTTTTTTCCTGATACAAATAACCTTGATGCACTGAATTTCGAAGATACGGAATAATCATATGAGCTTGAGTATTTTTTTCTCTCACCAGACATAAATTGGCTTTGTAGCTGGCCATTTTCGAATCAAATCTGAGATGGATCAAGTAGTTTTGTGAACTTTTTGAGCTTAGTCTGTTATCATGTACTCTTGCCAAAATGTCAAGGTAAAAAGTCATTTTTGTCTGGTTTTAGAAAAACTACCCGAGTTAGTCGCGCCACTTGAATTGCAAAACATCCCATTGTTATTCGCGCCGCTTGAAGCGAATCTGAGATGGATCAGTTAAATTTGAAAGTTTTTTGTCTATCAAGAAAGTCGAAACATTGAATTTTGGCCGAGAAAGTCGAAACATATCTGATGTGGGTCAAACAAAGTTGAATACTTTTTTTGGGTCGAGAAAGCCGATACATGCCAAAAAATATATCGAGCACTTCGATCCGTGAACTTTCTAATAAATTTCCAGTGTCACATTATAGTTAGGTCAGGACTAGTGTAAACGTAAGCTATTCTGATGCAAAATTTTTGCTTTTTATTTTTTCAGTTTTCAATGTTTTCGATTTAGGAGGAGATGGATAGGCGCTGTTCAGCTGAAGTTGAAACCTGCCTGTTATGCTACGAAAGGATATGCCACGAGAAGTTGCGGCAAAATTGTGGACATGGCTATCTTTCTCCTGACGGTATTTATGCCTATAAAACATAACTAAATAGTTAGTAGGTCTGCTGCGGTTGATAAACTTGCTTTTTTGGCAGTCATGTACGTGGATTTTCTCGAGGCGGCGTATTTTCAAACAATTGTCAAAAATTTCATTGACTTATTTTTAGCTCGACCAAACTGATTTTTGAGCTCCCCCTAAGCACTAAAAAGGCCTTGTTTTGACCAAATTTTCTGCGCCGTAGGCAAAATTTTGAAAAAACAGGCCAAACAAAGCAATTTTAGGCACTTTTTGGACATTTTTGAGAAAAAAAAGGTTTTTTTCGACGTTGGCTTCAACCTAAAAATTATTAAAATTGGCGCCAAAGGTGCCTTTAGAAAAAACATAGGGTCCGTCTGCCAAAAATGGATATCTCAAAATAGTATTAAGGGGACGGCAAGGGGTCGAATCCCTGCAGAGAGAGAAGGCATCCGCAAACCAACCCCCCCCCCTCCTACATCCGTCCTTGATCATGTAACTTTTTATGTATCGCGAAATCTAACAAATCTTGAAAATCATTATTAACTTCGTTAATGGAAAGTTGGAACAAAAAAAGATGCTGCGAGATACTGTAAATTGAAACTATAGCCTCAGTCATTCCAGAGCTATGGGAAAATTTAGAGTCGATTCGGAATCTATTTTAACCCTTATTGACAGTAAAGTCAAAATCAATTTCAAATCAATGACAGCCGATCACTAGCGTGTCGAGGGGTGGGTACTTTGTACGCCCTCCTCCTCTCATTCCGCAGCTTCAATTCTGATTGCCCAATTTTTTCAATTTTTGTCAAAAATAGTCAATTGTGAAAGACAAGTATTTGGATTTTTTCAGAGTTGTTGAAAGAATATCAGGCAACGGACACATATGGCGACAGTAAGAATCAACAAAATGAATCAGTGCAGAAAAATTCATCGTTTGATAATGCAAAGGACTCCTTTATCGTCAATATCTCTATGACCGCAGCTAAATCGAACAATGGACGACAAAAAGCGCAAATTTTGGAATTGGAGCATCTAGTGCAAGATGACCCAGTCATCAATGGCTTAGATGTCCTGTACGAAGAGCTGAAGCATGGTTATATTCTAGTGATGTATCATATTTTTTCAACATGGCATTTCCAATCGCACACTAAAAAATGCTCAAATTTTCTGTTTTTCTAGACATTAATTTTGAGTACTGTGCAAATGAAAACTGTTTTTTGTGCCATGAGTAGAACCATTTCTGTCAAAAAAACTAACCGAAGAATGATAAAGTGTTTTTATCATTGACCAACGGCAGTGATGCTTACATTGCCAAAATCAAGACTCATTTTGTCAGCAAGAGATTTTCAAAAATTAAAGGTTAGTTTTTCCGTCAAAGCAGAAAACTAATTTAACTGAAAAAAAACATTCCTCAACGTGGATCTCAATTTCAAAAGGATTTCGAAGCCATTAAAAAATTTAATTAACACAGAATATTGTTCGTTTCAAACATCAAAGGTCAAAATTTTTAAATGCAAAAAAAAAACAATTTGAATAAACCAATGTTAAGTGTACCGTTTACAGAAATTTTAAACTTTATGCCATAATGTTGTAGCTGAATTTTTTCATTAATCCGAGCAGAATCAAAAGGGTATCGGTGGACCCAGAAAGTTTAAATAGTTTGGAGAACTAAGTTTTAACTACAATCAGACAATTGCGATAGATGATAAAAATTGGTTGTTTTTTGTTTTTCTTATTTTCGAAATATTTGGCACATTGATAGATCCTCCTAACTTTTAGACGACCTCGACTGGACAAAAGAGGGGTGCAGCGACTACACAAAGGAATTGACATTGGATTTTTATGAAGACTACTGGACAAAATTTAATTTTGATCCGACCAATTTATTTGATTACGATCATCAGCATTCAGAAATAGAGGACACTTCTGATTCAGGTACGAGGAAAAAGTAGCGATTAAAATATCTTTTTTCGACGTAACGTTTTCGGTTTAATTATTGAGTCTTCCACCATCTTATTGTTCCGACTATTGAAAATGGAGAGTAACTTTGTATTTGGGTGTTTTGTTCAAGTAAAACAAATAATCATCGGAATGAGTCAAGCAATATATTTTATTTAAGTCATTTCATCTGATTCCTGATTGGAACGAAATTTTAAAAAGTGTCAATTAGCCAGGGTTGACAAAAAACGGTCTGAAACTTTTGAGTTTTAGTCTGATTTTGGTCAAACAATGTGATCGAGTAACGTTCATTCTATAAAATTAAGTTATTTATGATGAAACAGAGAACTTTACAAACGAAAACCTGATTTTAAGTGCTTCTCGTAGCCTTTTTATAACAAAAAAGAATTTAAATAAGACTGAGTAGTAATTGGGCAAAAAATAGAAAAAATGTCAACTCTATTCAACATGCTTATCGAACATACATATTTCAGTATTTATTTTTCAGGCATTTGTATAATTCACTCATCACAACATCCCAGAATAGGACAACCCATTGAAAAAACAAAAAAAAATGTCTTTTTTAAAGGCCGACAAAACTTTCTGTGCTACTTGCAGAGCAACCGGCTATCCTTGTTTAATTTGCTTTTATCTGCATCAAACTTTGCTCTGCAATTACATGGAATTAAAGTTTCTCAATTGAACAAATACAAAATAAAGTATGAGAGAGAGAAGAGAAAGAGACAGTATAAAATGAAGAATGGTGTGAGAATTGATAAGTTCAATGGTTGAATGGTTTTAAAGTAATGAAGGTATCAATTCTCACACTAACTTGTTTTTATACTGTATCTTCTCTCTCTCACTCTCTCTCTCCTCTCTATCTCTCTCTCTCTCTCTCTCTCTCTCTCTCTCTCTCTCTCTGTCTCTTTCTCTCTCTCTCTCTCTCTCTCTCTCTATCTATCTATCTATCTATCTATATCTCTCCTAAAAAATTTTCTATTTTTTGCAAAATTTCTACTATCTCTTATTTAAGTTTTTTTGTCATGAAAATTCTGAGAGAAGCACTTAAAATTAGTTTTTTGTTTGCAAAATTACGTCTTTCATCATAAATGACTTAATTTTATAGAACGAACGTTACTCGATTGCATAGTTTGCTCAAAATAAAAATAAAACCGACTAAAAAAAGTTTCAAATCGTTTTTGTCAACACTGGGACAATGGTTTTGAATTAATAATGGATTTACCCGCACTTGAGTTCCATGGATAATAATCGTTTAAATTGTCATTTTATAGTCAGTATCTATGAAGTTACAAAAAAAATTGATTACAACGCATAAAAAATGGATTGTGATCCATTATTTTTTTCATCAATATAATCCATTATAATCGATTATAATCCAGTTAAAATAGATTATATTTTTAATGCCAATATAATCACTTATAATTGGTTATAATCAATTCTAATGGATTTTTTCGAGAGGTTAGTCATGAAGATTCCAACTTTTTCTGAAAGAGATCGCATTTCCTGTTTCTTGCAATTGCTACCTATTAGGTTTTCAATTTTTATATTAATTTTTGTCTTATATACCCCGTTTACCCCCTCCCTGTTTAACCCCCTCCCTGTTTACCCCCTCCCCTGTTAACCTCCACCCCTCTCCCGTCTTCCTCTCTACTTACATCCCCCGGTAAAAATGTGGGGGAGGGTAACCTGAACAACTGAGTCTTTTCCCCTCCCCGTCCCCGTCGTTCAAAATGGTAAACAAACTGGTGGGGGGATAAATTGTGAACTTGGGGGGTTGGGCATAAACTTTAGTACACATAGGATAAACGTAGAGAACTGGGGGGAGAGGGTTTGGGAGAACGCCAATGTGGGGCAAAGTGGGGGGTGGGTTAATTCGAGTAGGTTTAGATTGCGAGTAGGTCGTGAGTTACGCAGAAATGTTGCAAGTTTTGCGAATGATTTTGCAAAAAAAATGTATGGATTATTTTCCGTTATAATCAAATATAGTGGATTTTAAATGGATTATAATCCATTATAAAGGATTTTAAATGGAGTATTTTCCACTATAATGGATTTGAAAGGGTTGTTTTTTTTTACAAAAAAAATCGACTATAATGACAATATAATAGATTTCGTGGTCTAAATTTGCCACAATAACGGATTATAATGACAACATTTTAGACAACAATTTTACATTATAATCGATTATTATCCAAGAAACTCCGGTGCGGAAAAATGCGTTCAAAGTTACGACTTAATTAACAAACAAAATGGAAAAAACAGCACATATTTTTTGAGAAAGGTAAAAACTAAAACAATGATAACTGCAACAAGTCAAATGAAAGTATAATTCTCTAAAACAATGATAACTGAAAGAAGTCAAATGAAAGAATAACTTTTGCCGAAAGCAGTAGCGGATTTATGGGGGCTTTGCTCTTCCAAGGGGATTCGACCCCGTGCCAACCCGAAGGGTCCCTCTTTGAACTATTTTGATTTATCCATTTTTGGCTGACAGACCTTAAATTTTTTGCCACTCCGCCACTCCGCCACAAAAAAAGGATAGATATTGACAAAATTGCACACAAAATGTATGAAAAATTGCACGTTAAATGAATTATAAACACAAAAACCAGCTTTTGGGCAACTAGTTAAAAGCTTTCTAATCGCAGGTATTCGTGCGCTAATTTTTGAATGTTTTTTGAAGAAAGTAACAGATGATTTATGATGTTTTTTTTCTTAAAGTCACATTTAACTTTTTAACCAACTGTTTTTTAGGAATGTTACAAATCTGCCCCCCTTGAGAAAATACTAGATCCGCCCCTGGAAAATAGCTATGAGTTCTCAGTAATCAAATCATCCCGCACCAGAGTTCCATGGATATTAATCGATTATAATGGAAAAATGTTGTTTAAAATGTTGTCATTATAATACAATATTGTGGCAAATTTAGACGTAATCGATTATGTGGTCATTAAAATCGTTTTTTTTTTTCGAAAAATAAAAAACGATTATAGTCCAATATAATCTATTATAATCCATTGAAAATGGAGTATATTTCTTTTATGCCATTATAATGGATTTTTTTTGAGAGGTTAGTCATGAAATTTACAACTTTTTCTCAAAGTTATCGCATTTCCTGTTTAGTGCAGTTGCTACGTATTAGGTTTCATAAAATGTTACATTTCACTTTTCAATTTTTATAAAAGTTTTTGTCTTATTTACCCCGTTTACCCCCTCCCTGTTGTTACTCAACCCCCCTGTTTACCCCTCCCTTGCCCCTCCCCGTTTTCCTCCCTGCTTACATCCCCCCGCCGTTTACCCCCCTCCCCCTCGTTTTCCTCCCTGTTTACACCCCCCCCCGTTTACAACCCCCCCACAAAAGAAAAAGCCAGTTTACCACAACCTCCATTCGCCCCCCCCCCCTTTATGGGTAGGTATTTATTGGTAGACTTTGGAAGAAGGGAGTTTTTGATTTACCCCCCCCCCCCCCCCCCCAATTAACCCCCCTCAATTTACTCCCCCCCCATCTTAGTTTAAACCCCCTCCCCCACCCATTCACTCGGGTGGAGGGGGGTAAAAATATGGGGGGAGGGTAACCTGAACAACTGAATCTACTACCTCCCCCGTCCCCGTTCAAAATGGTAAACAAACTGCGGGGTTGGGGTAAACTGTAAACTTGGGGGGTTGGGCATAAACTTTAGTAAGCATGGGGGTGGGCGGAGCGATAAACGTAGAGAAGTGGGGGAGGGGGTTTGGGAAAATGCCGATGGGGGCAAAGTGGGGTAATCAATTTTTTATTATAGTCGAATAATTACCATGGAAATCCGGTGTGGGAAAGTCCGTTTAAAGCTACGACATTATTAACAAACAAAATGGAAAAAACAGCACATATATTTGCAAAAAGGTAAAAACTAAAACGATGATAACTGCAACAAGTCAAATGAAAGTATAATTCTCTAAAATAATGATAACTGAAAGAAGTCAAATAAAAGAATAAATTTTGCCCCCTTTGTACTATTTTGATATATCCATTTTTGGCTGACACACTTTAAGATTTTTGCCACTCGGCCACTCCGCCACACAAAAAAGGATAAATATTGACAAAATTGCACACAAAATGTTACAAAATTTGCACGTAAAATGAATTATAAACACAAAAACCAGTTTTTGGGCTACTAGTTAAAAGCTTCCAGATCTCAAGTTTTCAAGTGCTAATTTTTGCTATGATTTTGAAGAAAGTAACAGATGATTTATGATATTTTTTCTTAAAGACAATTTTTAATTTTTAACCAACTGTTTTTTTAGGAATGTTACAAATCTGCCCCCCCCCTTGAGAAAATCCTAGATCTGCCTTTGGAAAAGAGCTATGAGTTCTCAGTAATCAATTCATCCCGCACCGGAGTTCCATGGATCATAATCGATTATAATGGAAAAATGTTGTTTGAAATGTTGTCATTATAATCCAATTTTGTAGCAAATTTAGCCCACGTAATCGATTGTGGTCATTAAATTTTTTTTTTTCGAAGAAAAAACCATTATAATCCATTATAATTGATTATAATCCATTTTTGTTTTCAAAATAATGGATTATTTTTTGTACATAAAATCCATAAAAATTGATTAAATTTTGTACATGATGAGAGGGGAGTTTTTGATTTACCCCCCCCCCCCCTCCAATTAACCCCCCTCATTTTACTACCCCCCCCCCCATCTTAGTTTATACCCCCCCACCCGTTTATAATGGATTATTTTTTGTACATAAAATCCATAAAAATTGATTAAATTTTGTACATGATGACTCTATATTTTGCAACTTTCTGGAAAACTCGAACGGACACGTTCATCCAGGGGGCGGCCAATATGTGGTAATTTTCCAAAAAGTGCCCAAAAGGGCATTTTTGACCAGTTGCCTACGTAATCCTCCACGTACCCCCCTTCACGTTTCACGTACACCCCGTTCTCCCACTTACTCCCTTCACGTCCCCCACGTACCGCCCTTCACGTCCCACCCCACGTACCCCCTTCATGTAACCCCCACCCCAAGTACCCCTTTCACTTACACCCCCCTCCCCCCCCCTACGTCCCCCTACGTACCCCATCCCCACGTACCCCCCTCCATAACCCCCATGTACACCCCTTCACGTAACCCCCTCCCCACGTACCCCTTCACGTACCCCCCGACACGTCCCCCACGTACCCCATCCCCACGTACGCGCTCCATAACCCCCCGTGTACACTCCTTCTCGTAACATCCCCCTTCACGTACCCCCTCCACGTACCCCCCGCCCCATGTCCCCCCTTCACTTACCCCCCCCCCCCCACGTCCCCCTCACGTACACTCACCCTCCACGTAAAAAACCCCCCACTAAACACCCCTACCTACCGGGACAGATTACTGTAGTACGGGTAAACATGGGGGGAGGGGGTGGTGTGGGATCTATAAGTAAATTTTGTAAGTTTTGATGAACGCGATTGAAAAAAGAAAAAAAGAAATTTAGCGAGTGAACAAAATAACTAACTTAGTTTTGGTAATATTTTGAAAAAACGAAAACAAACAAAATTTTTAAGTAAATGGATTATAATCCATTATAATCGATTAAAATTGATTATTTTGCCTCGAAAATAAGTTTCATTTTCTTTCTTTATAATCGATTATTTTCGGATTTTATTGCTTAGAAAAATAGCTTTATTAAAATCTATTTTTAATCGATTATAATCGATTATTATCAAAATTTATTGAGACAGACCACGAAAATTCAATTCAATCGATTATTATCCATGGAACTCCGGTGCGGGATAGATCAGAAAGACAGTAAGGTCTGAGCAAAAAAGTAAGCTTTAATTTTAATGCTTTAAAAGATAAGACCATTTATCCTCGAGGGAAAGGACCAACATACGAGCTGTTACAGAGAACCTTATCACGGATAACAGCTGTTGGTTGTGCTTCTGCTTATGAACTACATGCAATTTTTTTACTACTATTTTAGGCTGGGTAATGTAGCCTCACCCTCCAGCAACGAGCACGGATCTTGGTGGGCCTCGAACAACCGACCTTTTGAGAGTAACCACTTCACCGCCACTCCGCCTGATATTTTTCGGTTATCAGTCTATCATGATGATTTGATATTTTTAAGCAGTTAAGGTTTTAAGATTCTTTTTTGTTTCTTAAGAGTAGTTTGAAGCCAAATCTAAGTGGAGTTTGTAACTTTCAAATTTTTTGCCTTAAAAGAAATGGGTTCCTTTCCGCTTATGTCCAGCTGGTGCGGATGTCAAAGACCTGGACAAACTATGGCACAAAATAGAGCACGAAATAGATGACATAAAATTGAATCCATTTGACGAAGAGAGGTGGAAGGAAGATAATGAGCCAACTGTGAGTGGTTAACTATTGACTGCTGGTTATTCATTGTTCAGAACACGTCACTCGATGTAGAGGTTTGGACTAGGGTGGTTTATTCTCCAGCCAATTTTAGGTACCTCAAGTGTTTCTCCGGCGAAATCAAGTACCTCAAGGAACCCCCGTATCGGGACAAGTGTGGTTATATTGTATTCTTTTTGGTCGTGATTTGACTTCCAACACTTCTCTTAACAAAAAATCAAAAATCTCGTCGAGAAAAATTGGTCTGAATATTTTTCTACTCGAGTAAATTTAGCGGAAAGAAAAGAGCAATGATCTACAGACGAAAATATTGTGTTTCCTGTTTTACATCCAATACATGTTCATTATTCATTTTAGAAGGCACATTTTTTTAATTTTTTTTTTCAATCTTTTTTTCAAATTTTCAGAAAGTTTTCTTGGCAATGACAAGTGTGGTCGAAAGTTTCTGTGTTTTTACAGCAATCAGCTAATTGCTTTGATTAATCATGACTGCGGTCTTTGAACTATCGAAAAGAAATTATGGCAGTTTTAATGTGGTCGGATCACCTGTGCTTTCTTGTTTGACGTGTTTGCTTGTGTTTATCAATTGGTTGCTTGAGATCTTTATAAGTCAATAAAAATTGGTTTCCCGAGCTCTCCTTTTATGGTAACAGACTTTTTTCTACCAAACAATTCATTTTTGCAGTCAAATAGTTTTTCATTGAACGGGCTCATCCTCTAAAAGTTTGAGAAGTGACTAGCTCAGTCGACAAAAACATTTGTGGGAATGATAAGCAAAAAAATCTAAATAAATCAAATAACGAACTGTAAAGCTAGGAGGTCAAATTTCCAAGGTTACGGTGGCCCTAACCCCCGCTGTTTCCTTAAATCCTTCTTGTGATCGCACGGTCAAAAGTTTCAATCGAGTCCAAATTTCAATGTCAGTGTACTATCATTGACGTTCACAAGTTGAAAAGAATCAGTAACATGACAAAATATTTCAGACCGACACAACTGAAAAACGCAGAAAACTAACTACTTCTAACCAAGCCCCTTCTCAAAGGAGTATCAGAAAGCGAAGTGCTTCACAAGCTGTAAGAACGGACAAAATCTCTAGTTTTTGTCAAAACTATTTCAACGCTTTCACAGAATGGGACTTTTGTAAGCAGTTTGAAAGTGATCCCAAGTGTAGAGAATCATGTGCGCGCAATGATGAAGACAGCTTCTGCAAAGAAGTGAAAGACAAAGAAATCAAGCAACAAGTTCTGATACAAGATTTCCAAATGTATCTGGAAGAGCACCACAAACACACCGATCTCATACTGAGGTAAATGCTGGTGAAACGACACAAAAATTGGTGATGTAGATGGTGGTAGATCTAAAATTAGGGGGCGCGGTTGTAACAAAGCCAAAAGCCAATTAATTAGTCAAAGCTAGTTTTATGAACTCCCGGGTTGACCAAAAATGCTTATCATACAATTTCGTATAATTCCATAGATACAGAAAATGTTAAGAAATCTCAAAGGTAAGCACTTTTTCTCACATGGAAACTATAGGATCAGCATTTTTGCATGAACCAAAAAGTTGATTTTTAAAATAAAAGTTCTCAAAGTTTTTGGGATGTGTTCGTGACCAAACAGAAGTGACTAAACCCATATTTTACTATTGAAATCACCAAGAGGTTGATCGTCTCGCATTTACAATGCATTGGAAAAAACCTCACTGTTCTTTTCACAAATTATATATTGAAAGCATCAAACATTTAAATTTTGGCAAAAATTTTCAAAGATGAATTTTTTGAAATTAGAATTTTCAAATTATCAGACATTGATCAAGGCATATTTAAACATGTCATTCAAAAGAAATAAGAGTTTTTAGCCTGTTTTACAAAAAATTAACCAGAGGAACGTGTTTCCAGGACTACGTTATGCAGAAAAAAGGAAAATTGTATGATTAGCATTTTTCCATACATTTGATGTATGGAATTGTATGATAAGAATTTTCGGTCTATGAAATTGTAAGAAAAGCATTTTCGGTTTATGGAGGTCAACATGGGCTAATTCAATCAAAAGTTTTAATGCACTTTAGGCAACATTGTTGGGTTCAAATTTTTGTAAGTACTATGCATCTTAACATACACGAGCGAGACGACCGAAAAATTCTCATAGACTCAATTGAGATCGACCCCTCAAGATACGATAAAAAGAAACCATGGTTATTCAATGACGTAGAGGTTCAATTCTCCTTGAAACAGAATGGCGGTGACCCCAAGTACTATATAAAGAATCAAAAACTGAAGATATTGGAGCCAGTCAATCTACTGAACACATTCAGTGTGAACGCAATTCAGCCATTTGTGAACGCAATTATTGACAAACTGAATGCCATGTACTCAGAATTACATTCCTTTTGAAAAAAAAACTAAATACATTTTTCCCCAACCAAATAAAAGTAGCTTGTTACTGTCCAAGCAGGTTTCATTTACCATTGTCAGCAATTTTTTTCTAAAAAAACAACGAAAAACTAATTTCTTTTATATGTTTTTTTTTTTCAATTTCCCTGCAAGAAGTTTAACCAGCAAAAGTCAATCCACAAAAACCACAAAAAAATCTGAAACTAAAAATAAATACTCATATCAATTCTTGACACAGAAGCAACTATCCTGAAATGTTTTAAATCGGCTCGAGTCGCGACCGAAAGAGTTTCAACATGAAATTCAGTCATCTCCGTGCAACGCTTCTTTGTGGTTTTTGATTTTAGTATTCATTCCACTCAGTTGTCAGACCATAGTAACCATTGTAACTGGTTTCAAACAATTAATGTGAGGTTCATCTTATTTGATTTGGTGGCACTGATATTTTTCAAATTTTTGAAGCAAAGATATTATATTAGTGCTGTAATTTTTAGGAAAAAAATTCATGTTTTAGTAGTGCTGTAATTTTCACAAAAATTTCGACTTTATAACAAGCAATCTTATTTGGAATTTATCATTCTATCTGAAAGGGATTGACCTTTCGAGATCAAACGTAATAAATCATTTCACCAAAAACAACTTTTTGGAAAGTTATGCTAAATGATAGTATGCAAATTGACCAAACTAAAACGCTAATTGCATAAGCTCGCAATGAAAATTGTTCCGATACTGAATCAAAGTTTAATTAAATTAAAGTCAATTTATCATAAGCAGTTTTGAGTCACAAGATAAGAGCTTCGCTCAACAGTATTCTGGAATATGCAGGAAAAGTAGAAGCTGACTATGCTTAGACAGGCTGGATAGCCTTTCATAGATTCTTTGCGAATCAAAGAAATCACAGTTATAATAAAAAATTCATTTTAATCATAATTCATTTCATATATTGTAAAGTATAGTGAGAACAATCAGTTTTCGGTTAACGTGATAGATATTTGAGCTCGGGGTAGTTTTCGACTTTTTTAAGCCAATTTTGGCGGAATTTTTATATCATCTGAAATTTTAAGATAATTAGCGCTCAAACTTGCAGCCATTTAGTGTTCTTAAGTTATGGGGGATTGAGTTTAGATTACTTTTAAAAGTATAATTCAAAATGAGACAAGACTTCTCGTATCAGGGCGAAGCCCTGAATGTTCCGACTGCCTTTTAATGTGGAGCAGTAATAACATTGAAAAATTAATTTAAAAAAAAAATGAAAATTTTTTTTTCTAAAATTTGAAATTTTTTTATGAAAATCGTCCCCCCACACGCCATATAAAGAACAAAAAGATAGATTTCGTTCCTTGTAACAAATCAATTATGGCGAATAAGCTTCGTTCAACCAATTTGGAACGATTTATAAGACGGATTAAATCTCCGCTTACGCGTTAATAGCGCGAATTATATCGCGCGTTAATTATCCCAAATTGGTCAAAATGGCCAAAATGGCCAAAATGGCAATCTTTAAACCCTCATAACTTTACGAAAAATGATCACAGGTAAAATATCTTTTCAAATTTAAGCTCAGGACAACAATGGCTTTCGAATGGTATAAAAAAATTCCGTCAAAAATGGCTAGTTAAAAAGTCGAAATTTGTCTGAAGAAAAAAAAAACCCACCCCGAGCACAAATATTCCGTTACTTTCGTATCTAAAGTCGTAACAATAATTAACGCTCAATATATTTTATCTTGTTAGAGATTGAGTGGCAAATAACTTTTGTTACTGAAATTGATATTCATAGCAACTCTTGAATTTTGATACTAGAAAAAACGCGAAATAGATAACATTTCAGACAATTTTTGGGACCAAGTCAACATGCTCCCCCCAAAGCTGTTTTTTTTGGGGGGGGGAGGATGTTAACTTGGTTCTAAAATGGATTTTTCAGCCAATCAAAATCCAGCATTTTATATGCAGTTTTTGGCAAAACTAATTTAAATTAAGCGCTGGGGGAGGGGAGGATCTTAAGTTGGTCTATTTGGGGGGAGGATGTTGACTTGATCCAAATTTTGGACTCACATTTGTAAATTTTATCCGTAAAAATGACAAAAAGAAGGAGCCCAATTGAGGCTAATATAGATACAATTGCTTTGCATTTCCTTGATTAAATTTCTTTTAGATTGATTCAAACTCTCAAATACACTTGTATTCAAATCCCGAAGTTATTTAAAAATTGGGATAAACCGTACAATCCCCCTCTAAGTGACCTACCGTAGAATGACCTCCCAAGCATGCGTTAAATCTGAAAATTGATTCTGTTTAAAATGTGCATTTCATGCAATCAAATATATTACATTGGTTCTTGCTTTTTTGTAAGCGGTATTCACTTCCCTGGTTGACATCTATAAACCGAAACTGCTTATCTTACAACTCCATACATGGAAAATGCTTATCATACAATTCCATACATCAAATGTATGGAAAAAAGCTAATCATACAATTTTGATACAATTTCAAAAAATCATTGAAAAAAGATTCGAGTTAGTTTCTACGGCTATTTGAATCAAATAAAACAGTCTGGTAATGAAAAAAAAAAACTTTTTTGGAAGAAACTG